GAGATCAGCATCACGCCGTCACACAGAATCACTAACCCCTCCCCTTCCTCACCAGGTTCCCGTCTTACTGAACTTCTCCTGGCTGAAGCCGTGTGTGTCCGCCGCCGATGTGGTCTTCATCGGGCTGAGAGACGTGGATCCAGCAGAGCAGTGAGTGCACCTGAGTCCATGCAGAGACTCACCTATTTCTGACGCCCCTCTGACCAATCAGCTCGTCCCGAAGCATTTTGGAGATGATTGAAATGAAATCTCAATAAAAAATTTAAAGAAGCAAAAAGCTCTGAAAGGTCAGCGACCTCGCTCTGGTCTGAGGGTCACCAGAAGTTCATTACCTGCGTGTACCTGAGTGTACCTGCCAGCAGGCTCTAATCCTGAGGTTTTCTCCTCCTCAGCTACATCCTGAAGATGCTGGGGGTGAAGACCTTCTCCATGAGTGAGGTGGATCAGCTCGGCGTGGCCCGCGTCATGGAGGAAACGTGTGATTACCTGTCCGCCAGGTGATGCCTGCATGAAGCCACCAAGGTGTGATAGTCTGAGCGAATGTTAAAGATGCTTTGTGTCCTTGAACAGAGGGAAGAAACCGATTCACCTCAGCTATGACATCGATGCCATCGACCCCTCTGTTGCCCCAGCAACCGGGACGCCTGTAGTTGGTGGACTCACCTACAGAGAGGGCGTCTACATCACAGAACACCTGTGTCAGACAGGTACGAGTCAGAAACTCAGGGAAAAACAAACCCTGCTCTTCACAGTAGAAACGTGTTTAGTGTAAGCAGCCACATTAGCTGCTTACAGTAAACACAACAGCTCTCACTTGGTGTTGGCTCTCGCTGCGGTAGAGTGTCACTTCCTGTTCCTGTTCCAACGCACACTGGTTTAGCCAATCTGTGTATATTCACAGTATTCACTCACTCTGTCTTTGGGGATTAGGGCTGACAGCTGTCCCGTTTTAGTGTCTCTTATTTGGCAGTTAAAAGGTTGGCAACCCTATCCTGGTGTGAACACGTGAACCGTGCTTCTGGGTCCAAACTACTCTGTGTTTATTAAGGCTGTTGTGTGTTTCACATGTTTTAACAGTTTGTATCTTGTTCTATTTAATCTGAACAAACCCCTAAAAAGTCAGTTATCGCTGTCGGCCTCTCTGGGTTTTTATTACCACCTTTCAGCAGCACATTTTAAAGCTCAGTCTTTAAACCCTTACGATGTAACTGCAGCCCAGCAGCAGTATATGAATGACTAACCTCGTATTATGGATGGATTATCTCAAGTTATCAAGGATTATCTGAAGTTTGGTCCTTTTACAGCATCCTGCCATGCGATTACATTTGTTCCCGACCACCGAGAACACTCACGGTAACTTTTATCGAGTGGAAAAAGTTAGCGTTCATCCTCCAGCTTCACTGTGTTTAAGCTAACATAGCTTTGTCGCTTCTCTCCTCAACAACAAAGAGCAACATAATAAAAAAAAACGGCACCATCACAATAAACTAGCTAGCAGTAGATATCAGTAGATACTAAATAATAAACGATATTGTGCAGCACGCAAGATAGACAGCGCACAGTGTGCTTTGAGGCAGCAGCCAAGAAAGCTGTAGTCCGCGTCTGTGAACACCCGTGTGTACACCTGTGTGCATACCTGTGTGGATCAGCATGCTTGCATTCCAAAGGTTTCTCCATGTAACAATCTGCTAGAAGGTGTGGGGGGGCCACAGCCCCGTCCTCCAGGGTATGAAGCAGGTATGGAGGAGATCAAAACTCCAGACATCCAGAGGCCCCCAGAACACAAGAGACCAAGGAAGACCAACAGAGGGGCAGCCGCGCCACTGTCCCAGTAAGAGCTGAGGAGAGTCCCAGATGAGGGCTCACTCAGCAGCCGCGGAGCAGAAGCCAGGGGAGTTGCAGTGACGCGCCCGTGAGCTCCGCCGGCAGCCAGCCGCGCCTGAGTGACCGAGCCCCAGGCCGAGAGGCCGGGGGCACCCCACCTCCGAAGTGGCCCGAGCGAGCCCCAGGCTCCAGGCCCCGATAAGCAGCCACCAAGGAGTGAGCCGGTGTGTACCTGGACGCCCATCCCCGGACACAAAGAACCACCAACGCACCGACACCTGAGGGAGTCCGCCACTGGCAGGGGAAGTGGTGGTGGGTGGAGATAGGCCTCCAAACCTTGGAGGGCCTGAGGTGTCCCCAGAGAGGTGGCGTCTGATACCCAACCTGACATATAGACACAGACATACAGGCACACACAGATACAAACATCCATTCCCACCCTCATGCTCTCATATGCACTTACTCCACACTCAACCAACGTGGAGACAGACATAAAGAGACGCTGTACACACGATCACACTCCCCAAGCGTACTCTACGAACCGGGTCTAGGTACCCTTGCCCCTGGAGGGGGGAACTGCACCCAGACCCAGGTGGTGTTACCCTTTTCCCTGCGGTGGGGGGAGGCAGACCGCCCCGACTCCGCAGCAGCAGGAAGGCCCCACACTCCAGACCCCAGTCGGACGGCCAACTCCGTCTCAGTTCTGCTTTTTAAGTTATCATCATCCTCAGCTTGTGCCACGTTAAACCTTCCTCCAAACCCTCTAACATCCAGTAAATCATTGCCTTGAATTAAGCACTGTGAATTAAAATGCTGCTCTCTTTAACATTCATTCAGCCGACTGTTCTCACTGCGGACAGCTGGACATTATCCTCTTTGACATTTTGACACCAGAATAGTTTCCAAGCCATGTTTTAGCTCAGTGAGATGAGCAGCTGTTCTCAGAGCAGGAGGCGCGGGTTCAAATCCTGCTTATGGCAACATTTTCTTCAGTTAACACTTCAACTGTTTAAACTCTTTCCCACACAAATTTCAGCTTTTTCACCTCTTTTTAGCAAAACTTTCAGTTTTTCACTACTTTTCAGCACAAATTCCAGCTTCTTCAGCTGTTTTCAGCAAACTTCAGGTTCTTCACCTCTTTTCAGCAGATAATTCTGCTTTTCAGCTTATTTCAGCAGATTCCACTACATAGCATTCACACTGCATTTTCGCAGGAAATGCATCTTTTTCTAGTTCTTTATTCTTCTACCTTATTCTAGTTGCTCCGACCTTTGCTGGTTTCCGTCAGTTTCAGCTGATTTTAACCATTCAAACTTTAAACTGTTCTGCTCCTTCTGCTAATGTCTGCTATATCTTTTGGTGATGATAACTTTTATACTTTTTGAGAAATTAAGCCTTTTATGCCATTTTTTGGCCCATTTTACTGAATAGGACCACATTATCAGTGTGATCACCAGTGCTTGCAACATTTTCTTCAGTTAACACTTCGATTGGCCAAGAAATATCTCAAGACTGGTTTTTCTAAGGTTTTATGGACTGATGAAATGAGAGTGAGTCTTGATGGGCCAGATGGATGGGCCCGTGGCTGGATTGGTAAAGGGCAGAGAGCTCCAGTCCGACGCCAGCAAGGTGGAGGTGGAGTACTGGTTTGGGCTGGTATCATCAAAGATGAGCTTGTGGGGCCTTTTCGGGTTGAGGATGGAGTCAAGCTCAACTCCCAGTCCTACTGCCAGTTTCTGGAAGACACCTTCTTCAAGCAGTGGTACAGGAAGAAGTCTGCATCCTTCAAGAAAAACATGATTTTCATGCAGGACAATGCTCCATCACACGCGTCCAAGTACTCCACAGCGTGGCTGGCAAGAAAGGGTATAAAAGAAGACAAACTAATGACATGGCCTCCTTGTTCACCTGATCTGAACCCCATTGAGAACCTGTGGTCCATCATCAAATGTGAGATTTACAAGGAGGGAAAACAGTACACCTCTCTGAACAGTGTCTGGGAGGCTGTGGTTGCTGCTGCACGCAATGTTGATGGTGAACAGATCAAAACACTGACAGAATCCATGGATGGCAGGCTTTTGAGTGTCCTTGCAAAGAAAGGTGGCTATATTGGTCGCTGATTTGTTTTTGTTTTGTTTTTGAATGTCAGAAATGTATATTTGTGAATGTGGAGATGTTATATTGGTTTCACTGGTAAAAATAAGTAATTGAAATGGGTATATATTTGTTTTTTGTTAAGTTGCCTAATAATTCTGCACAGTAATAGTCACCTGCACACACAGATATCCCCCTAAAATAGCTCAAACTAAAAACAAACTAAAAACTACTTCCACAAAACATTCAGCTTTGATATTAATGAGTTTTTTGGGTTCATTGAGAACATGGTTGTTGTTCAATAATAAAATTATTCCTCAAAAATACAACTTGCCTAATAATTCTGCACTCCCTGTACAGACGCAGCCTTTGGGGAGTGACTGCAGCACCCCACCAGCCGAAGAACTCACGTTAAAGTCTTTATGCGCCTATAAAACGATCAGAGGAACTGTGCGGTCACATGATGCTGAAGCTTCCTGTCAGTGACGCTGCCTCATTTTCAAACTGAATTAACTCCAAAATCCACAACATGAACACCAGCTCATTACCCCCACGTGCCACACTCGCCCTCACATAACCAGGAAGTTACCACAAATGTGCTCTTTGTCTCTCTGCAGGTCTGCTGTCAGCGGTGGACCTGGTGGAGGTGAACCCTCTGAGGGGCCAGACTGAGGAGGACGTCCGCTCCACCGTCAGCACCGCCATCGATCTGCTGCTCGGCTGCTTCGGACGCGTTCGCGAGGGAAATCACCTGCCAGATTACCGCCTCCCCGAGCCTTAACACGGGCCTCTCTGACCGTGCCGCACGACACCAGCACAAAGGGCCAATCGGAGTTCTCCCTGCAAAACTACAATCCCACAATTCCTGCTGTTTTCTGCCTTGAACCAAAGACGTTGTCTTCCTGTGGGTGGGGTAGTCCATCGCTGATCAGCTGATCGATCGTTTTGTTTTTGATTATTAAATTTATACGTTTGAAGAGTGTTTGTTTCTTTTTTTAAACATGATAAATGGTCGCCATCTTTAAAACGCAGCAGCACGCTGCTGAGGCAACGCTGCCGCCAGAGAATAACGACAGACGCCATTTTCTTACTTCTCCTGGGTTGCAGCAGCATTTTATTCTGATAAGAAACGTGTCTTACATCAGGTCACTGCACAGGACATCATCCAACACACAACAGACACACACAAACAGGAGTGAGGGTTGTCACGGAAACGGCGTGGAGCAGAAATTAGTAACTGCGCTCAGAAATAAGCTAACAGGGTTAAGAGGAGGCGGCGTGCTTTGCTTATCTGGAGTTTGACCTGCAGCATCTGAACGACCTTACGGTTAAACCTCCTCGAACGCTCACGCTATTGGTGGAAACGGAGGTGTAACCATGACGACGGGTGGACAGCGCAGAAAAATCCACTTGGACTGAATTTGTAAATCAAAGAGCCTCAGATGTTCTGCTTTTCAGAATAAAAGCATGGCAGCTGAAGCGTGGAAGAGTTTCCAAAATAAAACCCACTTTGTCACGGCTGAGGTGACATGAATCAGATCAGGAGCAGGAACTCGGCGACACGTTTCAGACTTCAAAAAGAAACAGGAAACAGAAAAAAGAAGGTGCAAACATTTTAAAACTTTTAAACGAGGAATTTTTAAAACGCAGATGAAAAACAGTGAAGAGGCGTTCACACGAATCCTGTCAGAAATCAATAAATACGCAGCTCAGTTTCAGCTATGATTGTCTCACAGAACCACACGATCGATCGTCGTTCAGATTCGATCGGTTCTTGCTTCTGGTTGATTCCCGTGATGACGAGAGTAATCTGATTCCTCGCCGTCTTTGTAACAGTCGTGAAGGTCAGGGAGTGACACGGGTGACGGAGCGTTTCTCGGTCTGTAGCGTCTGACTCGACTCATGTTAGCGACCTCGGGCCAAACTCCATTCAAAATTTGTCACATTTAGCGCTCCTTCGTTCCACTCGCTGGTTTAATGGGCAGAACCGTCGATGGAACAGAATTAAATCAATCAGATTTTCTGCTTTTAAGTCAAAGCTCACGAGATTTCAAACATTCTGGATCCAAAAACCCCCAAAAAACTTTATTCGTCTTTAAACGAACCTCTCGTGCAGCGTTCTTTGTTCTCGAGAAGTTTTAGCTCTCAGGCTGAACACCTGGACAGGTACGGACGTCTGAACGTCAGCGTGATTCTCGTTAAAGGAGAAATGAGTCAAACACACACACACACACACACACACACACACACGCTGTAGAGAAAAATAAGCGTGTTGGATCACATGTGCAGTCACACTCTGCGCCTGCAGGCAGGAAGCAGAGGAGGAAGACGGCTGAGCTGGAGGAGGAAGGTCGGTCGTCAGTCGGTCTCGTTGAGGCTGCAGCGCCGCCTGAACTCCTGCCCTCGCTCGTGGATCCATTTGTTCGATACTGCAGGAAGAAAGAGTTTCATCAGAGCCTCGACAAACGCCACGAGTCTGAGCAGCGTGAAGGTTTCTCCGTCTTTCTCATCAAATCTGAAGCTTTTCATGAAGCTCAGTCAAGTTCGTTTCATCTGAAACATCAAACACCAAAAATCCTTCAGCAGTCACGTGAGCTGCTGCAAACACACCCAGAAAACATCCAATATTCATCAATCAACACAAACATTTAAAAATAAATCAACTCCAACATAACAACGAAGCTTTTAATGACCCAAAACAGTTTTATATAACTGACGGGAGTTTGGATTTGTTCTTTTATTTTACTTATTTTTAGAAAATAATTTTTAAAAGAAATTTTTTTATGTCAATCATCACCGGGCGTGAAAATCTGAAAGTATTTTTACTTGATGATGATTTTGTGTGTATTTATTGTTTTAATGTGCACGTGTGTGAATATGGCGCGATGACCTCACCCCACTTGTTTCCCAGCAGCACGGGGCAGGCGGCGTGTCGGGTCCGATAGTCTCCTTCTCCGCTTGGATACAGGTTGTACCAGAACACCGCTGTCCCCTGGAGAAACACGGTCACATGACGCGTCACATGACACTGCGTCAGATTACTGAGAAGCGGCGCCCTCGTCTGCCCGCCTGTTTCTCAGTTTGGTTTATTAAACAGACTTGTTTCTGTGATGATGATGATGAAGAAAGTGAGTAGTTGAACCTTTTTGGGTTTCACAGCAGCTCCGATGTCAGTGAAGACGGTGGCGCCCCCTGCCTGCACGTCGGTCATCTGCAGCGGGAAGGAGGAAAGCGTGAGCGGCAGCAACACACACGCACACACACACACACACACACACACACACAGCAGCACTGACGTAAAGCAGCCACGTGGCGATCCGGTTGCCCGTGCCCAGCTCCTCGAATGCGTCCGGTTCGTCTTTCTGAAACAGGAAGTGCACGGCGGTCAGAGTAATGAAAATTCATTCACTCATTTCAAAAAACTGAACTTTGTTAAAAGTTACAAATAAATAAATCTACAATACAAATACACAGATTGGATCTATTTAGTTGATTTTAATGAAATGTGTCCAACATGGATCCATATCTGTTATTGATCGTTTTCCGTCTTTCAGCAGAAATAAAATGCTGACAGAAACAGATTCTCATGTATCTGGTTTTATTTACCCGTCCGAAGTCGAAGTGCGGCTCGTACTGTCCCCCCAGGCCGTAGTTAGCCACCTGCATCAAACACAGCGCTTAAAACATCAGAGGCGCCAGACGGTTAGCGCCGTTTGAACTCAGGTGAGGCGTTACCTGCAGGTCCTCGGCCGTCTTCACGTTCAGCCCCGTGACGTCCTCGATCAGCTGGTTGATTTTGTCCACCACGGGATGCTCGTACGCTCCGAGCCAGGCGCTGAGAGGACAGAGAAGACACAGAGTCACCGCCGAGGTCACGAAAACAGCACAAACCGGCGCACGGCGAGGAGACGGCAACGAGGAGGGCGGGGAAACAACAGACAGTTTCTAAAGCAGCTCCTCTATGAAAAAAACGACATTTACAGAGCTTCACCGCTGACGTTTGTGTCATTACAGCCAGCTGAACGTTAGAAAAGCATGAAGGAGGAGACTCCGCCCCCGAGACGGTGGTGACCACAGGCTGTAAATAAAGATGGACGCCCCAAAAACATTTATATCGTGACTTCAATAAAAGCTGAAGCGAAGTCACAAATTTACTGCGGAGGAAAAAAACTCGCACGCTCACTGATGGATCCAGGAGTTCACACGCGGCTTTACAAGTCGGCTTGTGATTGGTCGCTTGTGACAAAGCCGTCCGGAGCGCTGCACGTGCGGCGTCCATCGTTACGAACAGCCTGCGCTCCGCCCGGGCCTGAAGCGAGTGACGTCCTGCTCTTACCTCTTGGAGACTCGGTAATGGGCCGTGGTCAGTTTGCCTGTGTGAGGGTCATGCACCGTGGCACGTCTGAGCTACTCCCAATTATAGGTTAATGCAGAGAGACAGAGAGAGGACAGAGAGAGGGCGGTCACTATCCACACGCTGCAGTCAGGGAGGCAGCACGAGCTTCAAACGCCACATAAGGCCACTTCATTAGGTACACGTGAAGCCCTGATCTGCTTTGGCGAGTTAAAGAGCGCCGAGTCCAACCCAGAGCCAACAAGGTACCTAATGAAGAGGACATGGAGTGCACGTGGTCAACCTTCAGGATGTTTGACAAGCTGCTTTAGCTCCTCCCTCCTTCAGACAACTTTCCTCTGATTGGCTGCCCCTCACAAACAGAAGGTTATGGGATCGATATTCTGCCATAATTGAAACTGAAAATAATCTCAGTTGATGTTTCACTTATGAAGTCACTACACCAGCATCATACACAAAACACGCAGTAACATTGCAGTACCTGCAGTAGTTTTACAGTAACTACTGTAGAGAGTATTTCCGTGAAGCTGACGCACTGACAGGTCAACAGACTGTCTGACTTCAGAACTTTATTTTGAAACGTTTGCAGACTCTTGTTATTTTACGTAACAATGTGCAGGTAACAGTGAGAAGCACAGGTATGAGACACGAACCCTCCTGCTGCCTCCACGAAAACGTTAAAGCGACATCGAGAGTCTTAAATGTTTGACTTCCTGTCCCCGAACGAGCAAAGAAAACAAGCCGAGGCTCGAATCCCAGCGAGAGCAGAGCCTGAAAGAAGACGCTCAAAGTAGCTGTTCCTGCAGCGTTACAGGACCTTCTGATATCTCCTCTGATGTGGCCTTTTACACCTGCCCAGGTGGGACTGATTGAGCTGATGACAGTTACAGCTGTCTCTCTGTGCTGCAGCGCCCCCTGGTGGGAGGACAGCGGTAAAACAGCTGCTCATGAACATCTGCTTTATTATTATTAACCATTTCTCAGCAGCAACAACGTGAAACTACAAGTTTATGGAGATGTTTCAGAGCTTACAGCCCATCATGGACGTTTAAACGTTTCTTTCAAGCTGAATGTGTGAAAACTGGATTTTATAAAACTGAAGTCTTTTATGTTTCAGACTGTTGGGGGGCGTCAGCTGTGATGATCGGAGGCTGGAAGTCTGTAATAATAATGCCGATTCTTCTGTGACGTTTAAATGAGAATTCCACTTTGGAGGAAGGAACATTTTAATTATTCGTTTGTTTGAAGCGACTCGTTGCCTTTTCTGCTCTCACCGGGACGGCCGCCATCACAGAGGGGGGAGGACAGGGTGGTGTTGGGGGCAGAGAGGTGAGGTCCACCCCGCGGACGCCGCCTCCTGCCCCAGCAGCTCTTACCTCTTACTGATGCGGTAGTGGGCCGTCTCCAGCACGCCGGTGACGGGATTAGAGATGGTGGCTCGACGGAGCTGTGGAGCCAATCGGCCGACAGTTACAGGCAGACACAGAGCGACGCCCGGAGCACCGACTAACGCCGACCGACACCGACGGAGGAGCCGCACCACACAGCCGCACAACCTCGTGATCCTCTCCACCCACCGCCCGCCCGTCACCTTTCTTCCTCGCTCACTGACGAGGCTCAAACTACAGTTTTGTTTTTGATGTGTTTGAAAAACAAACGAAATTTTTTACTTTAAATAATTTTTTTGTTTTCATGCAAATATTTTTTTCTGGCTTTAAATTAATTGTTTCAGTTTTAGACGTTTGATCCTGATTTTGTGGGCGTGTATCAAGAGGTAGGGGCGGGGCATAGATTAATGATTGACAGCACCCGTGTCACGGGGTTACAAGTTAAAAATGAGCAGTTGCCGCTCGCTGACAGGACGCCGCCGGCCAACAGGAAGCAGTTTGTGATGATGGATGTTTGAACGCTGCACTGAGGTGTGAACGGGGATTCGTTCTAATTTCAATATAATATATTTCATTTCTCTACAGAGCTCATCGCGGCTTAACGACCTAGCAGCCAATCAGATAACAGCATTCACTGTTGCCGAGGTAAATTTTGTGCATCCACACGATTGACCTGAGTTTCTGGGTGTTTGAGCTGAAAGTGCTCGCGCTGCTCTTCTTTGCTGTAAACCGTGAACCGAACATCAACACGACCGATCGGCAGTCGAGCAGCGAGCCGACGTAACCGCGAGCCGACGTAACCGCGAGCCGACGTAACCGCGAGCCGACAGTCAGCCACAAAAACGAAAACTGACAGTTTAGAGTCGCGGCGACACATCAGGCAGCAGTCATGTTCTCATCATGACTCTTGTCCAGTTTTTAACATCCCGACTGCTCTCGATTAGTTTTCCGACACTTCTGCGAGTTTCTTCTTCGAGGTCATTTCCTCTCCATCCTTTGATAAGCTCCACCTATTGGACTCTGTTGGGTCAGGTTGGCGGGGGAAGTAATCATAAACATGTTTTCATAAAAATTTTAATATACAGCGACTTAACGGGGAGCAATATTTCTGAGTACTGATATTTAGCCCCGCCCCTTGCGTTGGTAAAGCACTAATGGCGTCCGACCTGGGATAAGCTCTGCAGCAGCGCGTGAGATAAAGATGCTCGGACTCACCCTGGGCTTGGCCAGCTCTTTCACCTTCTCCATGTCTTTCTCTGACACGATGTTGTGGTAGCGCACGATGTGCGGGCTGTCCCACTCGTCCTCCTGCTGCACCGGGCCAATCACGTACCGCGGGTGCCGGTTGTTGTCATAGTAGCGGCAGAAGAGGCGGCTCTGCCTGCGGGGAGTCTGACAGGAAGCAGAGGTTGAAGTGACGCCGATAAACGACTCTCAGAGGTGCGCTTGTTTCGCTCGCCTCACCAGCTTGATGCCTTGGCCGCGACACAGCTGCTCGTACTTCTTCCTCTCAGGCAGGTAGTCGTCTTTGCTCTCCCTCCTCTGCCTCACCTTGCTTTCCTCCTCCTTCTCCTCCACCTTCTCCACCTTCTTCTGTTTGGCCAGCTGGTACTCAAAGTATTTCAGGTTCCCGTTGGCTCGCTGGTGTGTCGGATCTAACGGGCAGAAAAACAACTTCAGGTGAGTGAGATCAACAAATCTGCACACAAGCTCTGAAGATGTGAGAAGAAGCCTTGGACTCTCTGGAAACTCAGCGTTGCTCCTTTTTCTAACTCTTTAAAACAACAGCAGCACGTTTGCTGACTGAACTGCCCGTCTGCAGGTACTAACCCAGGTCCAGCAGCCTCCTGGTGAACTCCAGCGCTCTCTCCAGCTCCCCCTGCTGGTACACGGAGTAGCTCAGGTAGTCGAGGACGGTGACGGCGTCCACGGCGCGGGACGTCTCGCCCTGGTCCAGCTGCCTCAGGGCCTGAGCCATCCACAGCTCGGTGTGGTAGTAATCCGCCTCCGAGTACACCACCTTCCCGAGGTCGTAGCAGTCATCCACGGTCAGAGTGCTCCAGGCGGAGGAGGTGGAGGACGATCCTGAGGAGACGAGAGAGAGCAGGAGCATTTACAACTCATGTTCCTGTTATTAAAGCGCGAGCTGGAAGGTTGAATCGTATAAATGACTTTCAGACACACGACCGAGAGCTCAGAAACATTTGTGGTCCTTTTCCTCCTGAGCGCCGTCTTCTCTAAACTCGGACTGAAGAGCCCGCTCTGCCCTGTAAAGCAGAGCAGGTCCCGGTTCACAGACCTGGGAGCTCTCCGGTGGAGATGGCGTTGGTGTCCAGCTGGTAGGTGTCCTGCAGTCTCATCAGAGCTTTGGCCGCGCCGGTCTGGTCGTCGTCGTTGGGGAAGTACTGCCTCTGGATGGTGAGGTTGGAGATGAACACTGAAACACCACAGAAGAAGAAGAAGGACAATGAAAACAAGGAAAAAAGATTCTGTGTCCTAACGTCCAACAGCTGATTTCTGCGTCGCACCATCAGACACGTCGGTGAGCACCAGGCTCTCCAGCTCCCCCCACTCCGTGTTCAGCCTCTTCATCAGCTTGAAGGCGTTCACCGGGTGACCCAGGAAGCCTTCGGGGTCCTGAGTGGCAGCTGCCGAGAGGACGTCCAGTTTGTCTGCCCACCTGAACACACACATGGCACAGGTAAGAGTGTGTCGCAGATCATGACAGCAATGTAAACCTAGTTAGCTGCCCCCCCCAACAAACTTGAGATTCTGTTCCAGGATAACAGGAGGCGGAGCGTTTAACGGCGAGCAGCGACACTCACTTTTTGATCTGCTCCAGTTTGCTCTCCTCCGCTCGGATGTAGTCCTTCAGGGAGGTGACCAGGTCCTTCTCCGTGAACAGCAGGTCCGTCATGTGACCTGTGACAAAGAACAAATTAGCGCTCACACACGCGCTCAGCAGGACTCCACGCTACGATACAGAGCGGCCAAACTCACCGATGGAGGTGAAGAAGTCGTGAGCTGAGCAAGAAGTGAAGATGAGGAAGTGGATTAACCACCACCCACAGAGCGCCATCGTACCTGCACACACGGGCAGAAACCAGGCGTCAGTGCTGACATCACACCAACGCCAGACGTTGAAGCGTTACAGGTACTGATACTGAAGTCAGAGCGCTCAGCACACTCACAACAACCACAAGCACACAAAAACATCAAGACACGCCCACACGCACGCTCTGTCTCCCGTCACAGGTTGAAGCAGTGACGTGTCTGAAGCTGAAACGTGGCGTCGGTGCTGCTGAGGGGGAAGCCGTCATCCTGGGCCTGTGAGTGACACTGAAGCGGAGCCAGGAGAGGACAAAGAAGAGTCCTGACCTCGTGCTGAAGAGCATGAAACACACCAGAGCTGTGACCACACACACACGCACACTCTCTGGCCCAGTGACAGGAAGTCCCAAACCAGACAGCCAAGAAACCAGACGCCACTTCCTGTGACTGGACACTTCTGCTTAAAGAGCTCCATCTGCCCTTCTGTGCCTCTCAACAGGTCAAAGTTCACCTGGAGGGCACTGCAGCTGGGGCCAAAGATCACCAGAAAGTCTCTGGAAGGTGAGGGTGAGACCCTGAAGCAGCTTTGCATGATTCACTCACAGTCAGCCTTCTTTGACTGAGTCTCAGCTCACTGAACACCTGACACACCTGCAGCGGTGCAGCTTTGTGACGTCACACAGGTCCCAGAGTGTGGAAGGCTGTGGTAAACGGAGTGTTTGGAGCAGCTCTGAGACAGTACGTGACCGGAAGTGAGGCCGGTCACGCCACTTTTATGACCACACAAACCCACCAAAGCCCCCTTTACTGTGACTCACCTGTGCTGGGCTCACCTGTGCGCAGTCTCGCTGGCAGACAGACTGTCTCTGTTCAGGTCAGAGTAAAGAGTCGGAACCGTAGAAGTTTCTGGATAACCGGAACCGTCACCTCTGTCAGCTTCCGGTGAGGACCGAGGGTTTCTGCTCTTACCGAGTTTGTGCCCGAGAACAGCTTCAGCTTCAGCGCAGACTCGTCTCAGCGATCCTCACAGCCAGGCTGGCAACACAAACCTCCTCCTCTTCCTCTGACGACGTCACCGCGGCTCTGCCCCGCCCCCTGCTGGACCGGAGGCGCCCTGCGTCAGATTTTCATCTGCAAATTACTGCGTGATGACGTCAGAGCCACCAGCGCGTTCATCTGCATTTACTAATACTAATATAACGCCTAAAGAATTCTCAATAGTGTTCGATGCCATCCCATCTGGTCTGTCCATGTTACACAGATGCTCCCACAGTGCTCCACTACAGGTCACTCCCCCGGATGTGTTACATTCTTCTCTTGGCAATGTTTGCTTTTCCTCTCATAAGTCTATAAATACCAAAATAAGATCTCTCTTTCAGGATGCAATGGTCTCTGTTCCATCAGCCATATTTTATTCGGCCAATTTTGTAACAGATATTGAATGGAAAAAAGTTTGGACTTTACCACAAAGGTGTTTCTTAACAAACAAAATTAAAGAGATTTCCTTTAAGTTGATTCATAAGTTTTACCCTACCAAACAATATTTGTCCAAATTTATGGCTGAAATTTATGAAGCGCCTTGAGGCGACTTTTGTTGTGATTTGGCGCTATATAAATAAAATTGAATTTAATTGAATTGAAATAAATGTAAATTGTACCTTCTGTCAAGAGCAACCTGAAACAGTTTCTCATCTGTTTTTGGTCATGTAAGTAAATTTACATGTAAATTCTGGAAGGATTTAAACAAGTTTATTACTGACTCTGTTCTCCCTAATCTTCAACTATACCATAAGGATGTTATCTTTTGGCTATTATACTTTTAAAGACAAGGACAATGATGCTTTCTTCTTTATAAATTTGGTTTTATTTTTGGCAAAATTTCATATACACAAAAGCAAAGTCCTCGGCAGAAAGCCTGAACTTGTACAATATATAAGGACAATCTCCTCATCAAAAAACACGAAGGCTCTCAAGACTGTTAGCAGTTTCAGTCGGTTACAGATGTTAACTTGATTTTGGCTCTTGCAAACTTTGTTTATTTATGTTCCCCTTAATTTATTTTATTTTTTGTACTCACTTTTGTCTCACTGTCCTTGTCCCTCTTTCTGTTCTTCATTGTACTACCACAATGTTATCTTTTATGTGATCCCTGTTTTACTTGACTGTATGTCTAAAATGTGATAAGTAAAGTTAAAAATAAATAAATAAATGTACTAATACTAATTATTCCTCTGTGACGTCAGACATGCACGTGATTATAATCACGGAAACCAAGAACAACATCGTAGAGATACAAACCAAAACACAGCAGCACAACCAGCAAACACACAAAGACGAGCAGACAAAATGAAACATGATCAGTGAGAGATGAAGAGTGAGCACAACAGATCCAACATTAACACAATCAGAAACGCACAAATTCACCATAAACTGTGAGGCAACAACATGGCACAAAGTACCAAGACTGGATGAAAACAACGAGACAAAACCAGAAAGAAGCGTGCAACAACACAGACACACAGCTTCCAAACTCAGAGAACATCGTTTTAATGTCACAACAAAAACAAAACACGTGAAGCAGGAAGTGCACGCTGTGACGTGGACAACTTTATTGAAACACTGACGGTTAACAGTCACCTCCTGAGCGCGTGCTGCAGGGGTCAGCTTCATCATCACCATCATCATCTTCAGCTTCATATCAAACAGGCGTATTTACAACACGTACAAATATCGCACACAAAAAGTTTGTGTGTCTGAAGAAGAATGATGTGCAAAAGCACAGCTTCAAGGTGCTTCTATGTACAGGTGAGGAAACATTTAACCTCAGCGCTGAGGTGGAAATGTGGCGCAGGAAGTGTCAAAGGTCACGGTTTCAGTTCATCTTATAAACATGAATCAGAGGCTGTGTCCCAATTCAGGGTCTGCACGCTTGAAGTACGCGCACTACGCGTACTACGTACGGTGCGTCCTATAAGTACGAGAAGTGCGGAAGTGAGAGGCTTGTGAAATGGGACGGTATACGCTTCGTCGCGCTGTTCAGGTTGCCTAGCAACCATGATACTAACCGCGAGACACGTTACAGCTTTGTTTGACAGAAATGAAGGAGAAAAATGTTTTGTTGGTCATTCATTTTTGTCATGACATCACTTTGATTAGTTGAGTATCTGAGGCTGAGACCACAGGACTGTAAACATGATTGTTGGGCTTCATTTCTGTGCTGAACAGTCATTTAAGATTAGTTAGTAAATAACAATTAGCTGATGTTGTTTATGAGACTAAAGTCATCTCACTGTGGTAATGTAAATATAATATGGCCAATATTATAGTATTGTCAGATTGAGATATATATATATATATATATATATATATATATATATATATATATATATATATACATAAATAAAACACCCAGCACGGTTTATCCTTCAAGCTCGGGTCCTCTACCAGAGGCCTGGGAGCTTGAGGGTCCTGCGCAGTATCTTAGCTGTTCCCAGGACTGTGCTCTTCTGGACAGAGATCTCCGATGTTATTCCCGGGATCTGCTGGAGCCACTCGCCTAGCTTGGGAGTCACCGCACCTAGTGCTCCGATTACCACGGGGACCACCGTTACCTTCACCCTCCACATCCTCTCGAGCTCTTCTCTGAGCCCTTGGTATTTCTCCAGCTTCTCGTGTTCCTTCTTCCTGATGTTGCTGTCATTCGGAACCGCTACATCGATCACTACGGCCGTCTGCTTCTGTTTGTCTACCACCACTATGTCCGGTTGGTTAGCCACCACCATTTTGTCCGTCTGTATCTGGAAGTCCCACAGGATCTTAGCTCGGTCATTCTCCACCACCCTTGGGGGCATCTCCCATTTTGACCTCGGGACTTCCAGGTTATACTCGGCACAGATGTTCCTGTACACTATGCCGGCCACTTGGTTATGGCGTTCCATGTATGCCTTGCCTGCTAGCATCTTGCACCCTGCTGTTATGTGCTGGATTGTCTCTGGGGCATCTTTACACAGCCTGCACCTGGGGTCTTGCCTGGTGTGATAGACCCCAGCCTCTATGGATCTTGTGCTCAGAGCTTGTTCTTGTGCTGCCATGATTAGTGCCTCTGTGCTGTCTTTCAGTCCAGCTTTGTCCAGCCACTGGTAGGATTTCTGGATATCAGCCACCTCCTCTATCTGCCGGTGGTACATACCGTGCAGGGGCCTGTCCTTCCATGATGGTTCCTCGTCTCCCTCCTCTTTCTTGGGTTTCTGCTGCCTGAGGTATTCACTGAGCACTCGGTCAGTTGGGGCCATCTTCGTGATGTATTCGTGGATGTTCGTTGTCTCATCCTGGACTGTGGTGCTGACACTCACCAGTCCCCGGCCCCCTTCCTTCCGCTTAGCGTACAGCCTCAGGGTGCTGGACTTGGGGTGAAACCCTCCATGCATGGTAAGGAGCTTTCTTGTCTTTATGTCAGTGGCTTCTATCTCCTCCTTTGGCCAGCCTATTACCCCAGCAGGGTACCTGATCACGGGCAGGGTGTACGTGTTGATGGCCCGGATCTTGTTCTTACCATTCAGCTGACTCCGTACCTGCCTGACCCTCTGCAGGTACTTGGTGGTTGCAGCTTTTCTAGCGGCCTCTTCATGGTTCCCATTTGCCTGCGGGATCCCCAGGTACTTGTAACTGTCCTCTATGTCTGCAATGTTGCCTTCTGGTAGTTCAATCCCCTCAGTTCTGACTACCTTCCCTCTCTTTGTTACCATCCGACTACACTTCTCCAGTCCGAACGACATTCCAATGTCATTGCTGTATAGCCTGGTAGTGTGGATCAGTGAATCGATGTCTCGTTCACTCTTGGCATACAGCTTGATGTCATCCATGTACAGGAGGTGGCTGACAACTGCTCCGTTCCGTAGTCGGTATCCGTAGCCAGTCTTGTTAATGATCTCACTGAGGGCGTTCAGGCCTATGCAGAACAGCAGTGGGGACAGAGCATCTCCTTGGTAGATCCCGCACTTGATGGTGACTTGTGCTATGGGCTTGGAGTTGGCCTCTAGTGTTGTACGCCACATCCCCATTGAGTTCCTGATGAAGGCTCTTAGGGTCCCATTGATCTTGTACAATTCTAGGCATTCCAGTATCCAGCTGTGGGGCATTGAGTCATAGGCCTTCTTGTAATCAATCCAGGCAGTGCACAGGTTGGTCAGTCTGGTCTTGCAGTCTCGGCTGATTGTTCTGTCTACCAGTAGCTGGTGTTTTGCGCTTCTGGTATTCTTGCCAATTCCTTTCTGTGTCCCGCAGAAAGGAATGGGTCATGTATTGACCCATGTGCCTGTTCATCTTAGCCGATATGATGCCTGACAGGAGCTTCCATGTAGTACTGAGGCAGGTTATTGGTCGGTAGTTGGAGGGGACCGCTCCCTTCTTGGGGTCCTTGGGGATCAGGACCGTCCGGCCTTCAGTTAGCCATTCCGGGTGTCTCTCGTTAACTAGCAGCTGGTTCATTTGTGCTGCCAGACGCTCGTGGAGTGCAGTCAGCTTCTTCAGCCAGTAGGCGTGAACCATGTCGGGCCCTGGTGCTGTCCAACGCTTCATACTGGAGACCCTTTCTTGGATATCTGCCACTGTGATGGTTACTGGACCCTGTTCAGGGAGGTCGCTGTGGTCAGCCCTCAGATCCTCTAGCCACTGAGCATTGCCGTTATGGGTTGCGTTCAGTACTTTTGACAGTTCACTCTTCGGCCGCTCCATCTTATTAAGGAACTTCCACATACATAAATGTCAATTTCAAAACTCAACCCCATCATTTAATTTGTTTTTGATTGAAATTGAATATTACTTAAACTCTCTTAAATTAACTTCCAATAAAAAAGGTTTATCATTGATTGAAATTCATTCAGAAATGTTTAACGAATGAGCTGTCACAACTTTCAAGTACAAAGTTATGAAGTCTGTCACATTCCCCCCTTTTGTTTCTTTTTTCCTTTATTTATTTATCCTTCTTATTTCATTGTGCTGTATATTGTTACTCTTATTTGCCTTGTATGTCTACTGTACAAACTGAACTGGAATGACTGTTCGCTTTATAATTTCAATAAAGT